TATAAAGGGACATAACTCAAAAAAGGTAAAAGTGACGCTACCCAAATTCATACTTGATTTGAGTTTTGTGGTAATAAGCATTGTGTATAAGTTTCATAACATTTGGTTGAGGCAAACTTAAGTTAGAGAACTGAAACAAAAAATTCAGCAATTTTTCCGTTTGTAAAGGGCATAACTCTGGAACTATAAAAGTGATGCCACCCAAATTCAAACTTGATATGTGTTTTGTGGTAATAAGTATTGTGTATAAGTTTTATTAACATTTGGTTGAGGCAAACTAAAGTTAGAGAATGGAAAACAACTTTGGGACGTACGGACGTATAACGGCCATTGTTCATAAAAGGGCTGAAAAGGATAATAACTGACTACCGGTACAAACATGAAATTATGCTCAGATAATACAAGTTATCAATTTGAGGTATCTGACTGACCTTTTAAGCACCTTCAGATGGTTCTAATGAACACTTTATTTCTCTTTAAAGTGCAGTAAAATCAGATTCAATATGTGAAGGCTAAGGTTTTTTTTTGTTGTTTTTTTTTAAGTTTTGCAAAATAAAACAACCCGATAAGCAGAGCAAATGTTCAATAGTAGAGGGTCTGAATGGGGTTACAGAATAGAGAATAATGGACAACCACTGCAAAATTAATTATTAAGGGCTCAAAATATATAGAATAGACAAAAATAGACAAGAAAATAAGAATAGAGAATAATATGGTGCTCAAATATACAGAATAGAGAATAATGGGCAAAACAAATAAAGAATAGACAAAAATGATCTAAAAAATTAAAGAAGAAAGAAATGAGGGACCCCATCAAGACCCTCATAGTAGATATCATCCAAATTTACAATGTAGTTTGTCAAATAAATGATTATTAGAATTTTGTGCTTAAGATTTTGATATTTATGTTTCTTAAGATGTTTAAATATGATTTTATAGAATAATTTATTTAACTTTTATTCATTGTCTCTTCATTCCAGTTATTATGTATAATCCCTGACATTATTTCTAATGATTATGCATAATTCCTGAAAATTTTAGTAATTATATATAATCACTAAAGTTACCAGTGATTATACATAATCCCTGAAAATTTTAGGGATTAGACATAATCCCTAATTCTACAAATTCACTGTTACATATACATAACTATGCTAAAATTTCACTTTTTAGCGATGATCAAAATTTTTTAAATAGTCATTTTCATCACATTTTACTTTTTTTTTACTTTAAATATTAGTTTTATTCCAAATATAGCATAAGCCAAATTATTCTTTGGTTTGATGTTATTAGTTTATTTCCACTTTATACAAAATGGCAATTTGATAAATATTTAGAAGAGAAATTCTTTGATGACAATTGCTCTACAAATACGAGTATTAGTGCTAAAAAAAAATCATTTTCATATTTTTAATTTTTATCATGATTACTACTTTTAGTATTTTGTGCTAAAATATGATAAAATTGTCATGTCATATTTCATTTATTATGTTTTGCAACCTGATATCCAGTTAACTCTCATAGTCTCGAACTAGGTTGACTCGAAATTTCAGATAAGTAAAACTTTTCCCATGGTCATGACTTTGTGCCATATAAATATATGTATTTCGACTCCTAATGAGTCGAAATTTTGGTTTACTCGAACTAAATTTACGATCTCAAGGTTAACAAAACCATTCAAATTCCATTATTTATCTCAAACTAATACACATATGTCAAAACATGACCTTGGGGATTTAAATGTATTTCACCTGAAAATACACGTGTAATTAAATTTCCAGTCAATGACTTGTATTCATTTATGACATTCTTTTTCACGAGTGTTTTCCTAAGATTATCTTTCATCACCATGATAAATACATGTAATTAGTTATGCATTGTAATATTTCATGACAAATTATTTATAACGTTTTTAAAAAAAATTAACCGTAATCATACATTTGTGAGCTTGGGTGTGCATAAAGTGGGGATTAAGAATTAGTGATCAACTCAAAACTACTCAATCCGCTTCTTTAATCTTTTTGTTCTTTATCTTGCAGAAAAAGATTGAAATAAAAGAAAATAAAAAGAAATCTAAATTTTCTAAAATATCTTGTATAAGACTACGATAATGAACAATTTTGTCAACATTAAATCACACAAAGATCGGTTTGAAATTACGCTTTGGTTAAAAACTACGGGAAAACAGTGTAACTGTACAAAAAAATAAATAAGAGACGAAAAATCATATATCTTTATTATAACAAGCATTGTGAGAGTATTGCATGGCAATATATAGTCCCCTACCGGTTAAAAATTCATTGTACTGGAACAAAATGACAAAAAAATTAGGGAAAACTGATTACTTGCATGTATTTTCTAAGTCAAAGGACCATAACTCTGCAAAAAAATCATCTGAACGGAATAAAATACGAACTTGATCTATAACTTGTAATGGTTAAACTATATAACAAATTTCAAATCAATATCTTCAAGCATGAAGAAAAAAAGTGTGAAAAACTGATTACTTGAAAAAAAGTGTGAAAAACTGATTACTTGCATGAATTTTCTAAGTCCGAGGACCATAACTCTGCACAAAATCATCTTACCGGAACAAAATTCCAACTTGATCTGTAACTGGTTATGATAAAACTATATACCAAATATCAAATCAATATCTTCAAGCATGAAGGAAAAAAGTGTGGAAAACTGATATGCCGGACTGCCTGCCTGACGGACAGACAGACAGACAGACTGTATTTTTTTTCAAAAACCACCATACTGGAATACAATACTGGTACAAAATTTGTATTCCAGTATTGTACACAAATACTGGTATACCAGTATTGTGATGGTCAACTACAGGAGATGAGACAAAAAGGATTAATTATGAAAAACACCTCAAACATGAGAAAGGAGTCTTGGTAAAGTTTTCCTGAATGCCGTTCTGTGGTGTTAAGGGATTCTGGTGCACAAAAAACACAATGCAAGCTGGCCAAAAAGAAAAGTTAAAAAAAAAAATCACTAGTATACCTTCATACCCTATTATTTTAGGGTATGCAACAGGAAACACACTTACTTTTTTTTTACCTCCGTACACAAGAACCATCAGAAATAAGCTGTTCAAACTTTTTATTAACAACCACCATACATGATCATGCAAGATACTTACTTCAATTCTATAGAAAAATATTAATATGCTCTCTAAGAGACTTATGACTAGTCTTCATGTTATGCTCTTTCATAGTAAATTTCTTAGGCGACCCGAAATTACAGCCTGACCACTAAAATTTTGAATTGGCCACTGAAATTTTATATCTGGTGGCCAAATGGCAACCTGATTTTTTAATCTACTTTGATGGCTGAATAATGATGTTCCAACACTACAACTTACGATCTCTCTTTTATAATGATCTATTTGTTCCAAGACCAAATAATAATTTTTATAAAAAAATCTTTTCATTATTCTGCAACAAAAGTATGCAATGATTTACCATTCACGACAAAAAATTGTCATAATGTGGAATTATTCAGAAAACATTGTTACAATAATTTTCTTAAAAATTCTATGCAAGTTAAATAATTTTTCTTTTATGGTTAGAATATGAAAATTTTTTATTATTATTATTAGATAATTATTTATGTTTACCTAATGTTATACCAATGTATATTCCATTGTTGTTTTGATTTTAAATGTCCTTGCTATGAATATGCCATTCTGTATTCCTTTGTTCATACATGTCGTGCTTGCTTATTTGTTACAATAAAGCAATTCATTATAAAAAAAAAAAAAGATTATTAAACTTTCCTTCTGGAAATTTGAAAATCTATTGTTAATCTTTTTCATGGACCATTCACCTTTTTTTTTTTATTTAATAAACTGATTAATAAGCATGTTGTCTGCTCTTTGGTCGGGTTGTTGTCTCTTTGACATATTCCCCATTTCCATTCTCAATTTTATGTCTGTGAGGATTTCAAATAGAAATGTAAATCACATTAGAAGTTTTAAAGAAATTAGATGTGTCGGAACAACATGAATGGCCTGTTCGCAAAAAAGCTTGGAGCCATTTTTTGGAGTGATAATTTGAGAATGAAAGTCTGTACAACTGGTTTTTTTTCATGAACAAAGCCTGTAATATCAGCAAAAATCAATGGAGCGGAACCAAACGTAATCTTGATCTGCAACTCATCATAGTAGACTCACATACTAAAAATCAGCTCAATATGTGAAGGCATTTAGAAAAATTATCTGTATTCCTGTTATTTTCACAAAATTTTCAAAGTCCAAAGCCCTTAATTTCAGTAAAAATCAATGAAGCAGAACCAAATGTAAACTCAATCTGTAACTAATCATAGTAGACTCACATACTAAAAATCAGCTCAATATGGGAAGGCGTTTAGAAAAAATACTGTAGAACTGCTATTTTCATGAATTTTTAAAGTCCAAAGCCCGTAATTTTGGCAAAAATCTGCAGAGTGGAACCAAACCTGAACTCGATCTGTAACTTATCATAGTAGACTCACATACTAAAAATCAGCTCAATATGTGAAGGCATTTAGAAAAAAAGTCTGTATAACAGTTCATTGCAGAATGATGGAATGACGGATAAGGGTAAAACTATATGGCCCAAACAACTTTGTTGCGGGGCCATAAAAATCATAACTGACCTTTGTTACCTATAGCTCACATATCTTTTTTACTCATTCTTAGTATCACTAAGAAGTATTCAGTACTTACTTTGTAAGCGATTTTCTGATTGTCAAGAAGTCACTTCTTGTTTGATAATACTTTTGATTCCTTATATCCAGTTTGCATGGAATTTTTTTTTCGGTGTCCGATAACAAGATGCAGTATATTTTACAAGACACAGCATACATTTCTATTTTTGATGTTATAGAATAAGTTGCTATTTTAATAAAACCTGATTTAATCTTATTATGTATTTCAACAGCACATTTAACTACTGTTTGTCTAAGAAATCATAGTGATCAAATTCACAATATATAATTTTACATCTTACCAGCACTGTTAGCAAACATGATGCAAAGAATGAGGTCAGCAGCATCTCATTACCAAATAAAGCTAAATAGCTAACCAACAGACCAATCAGCTGTCCATACAATATTACTTTGATCTTATGTGAGTCTGTGTAACCAAGAACATATGTACCAAAGACTGCAACAGTCTGAGTGAGTAGTGCAAACTGGGCAAACTGTAAAATAAAGAATGAGACTTCAATTCTTAAGTGCGTCCCTACAGCTTGATTAAAATATTACTCTGGATTCATTATTATTTGTGGGATACCAATTTTCGTGGATTTCATGGGTATAAGTGAACCATGATTAAAAATGTTCAACAAAATAATATATTTTCTATAGGCTTGTAAGCAAACTTTTGCAAAACCACGAAATCAAATATCCACAAAAAATAAGACTTTTCCTAAACCCATGAAAATTGGTACCCACAAAAATAAAAACATCCAGAGACAATTTAATTTCATGGTAAATTTTCATTTTTTGAATTATGAACTAATAGTTGATGTTCCCACAGGCAAAGTGGATCTTTCATACTTCTTGGTGTCCTGTTTTTTCAGTTCTGTCATCCTAAAATGCTTTATGTATTTATTAGGCTTCCCAAACCTCTTGTCACAAACATAAAAGTTGGAGTTATTCCAGAAACATGTGTAATACCCTCAGAAATAGGTATCATCTTAGGCCATGCAAGAACTTAATTATTTCCTAGTGTATCTCTTTTAGACAATAAATACAAATTTAAACAAGAAATGATTGTTACAAAGTCTCATAAATAAAGTCCCCTCAAGTCAAGTATAAACCCCTAAGGACTCCCCCCATTATTCATTCAATTCATCTTGCAGAAATTATATGGTTTGGGACTGCAGATCTTATCCATTCACAAGGTATCAGAAAATTCTCATATGACAGCAGTGGGGATTGGTATCTAATGTATTTTTCATGTCAAACCAAAAAATATATGGTTTAGGGGTGGGGATCTCTACCAGTTTAGAGATATTAGAACATTCTCATATGGCAGGGAACGGAGTTCGAGTGACATCTTTTAATTGTTTGTTTCTTTTTTTTCTAATTATGTCACCCTGAACGGAGTGCGGATGACATATATATATTGTTATTGTACGATTCTTTATTTTATTATCATTATGACACCTGATTGACAATGTCGGGTGACATATTGCTTTTTCCTCCGTTTCTTTTTTTTATTATGGCACCATCAACTGAGTTTGGGTGACATATTGTTATTCTACGTTTTTTTAATTTTCTTATTATTATGTCACCCGATCGAACAATGTCGGGTGACATATTCCTCAAGTATCTTTACTCTTACTTGCCTTAGGGATGAATTGAAATAATAGTATTTGAAAAAAGTGTGGGAATCTACTTTGATATCAATATACAGCCTGTACCGTATTTTTTTCAATTTCTTACACAAGCATAAAATACTGAAAAACACTTTAACAATTCTTATCAACTGCTTAAATTTGATATCTTATCTCACATAAATTCATAAATAGTAGTGTTTTATAAATTTTGATTTACAAGGAACTTACTACATGTATATGCAAGTGTATATCTAAAATTTAGTAGCTGTTCAACCTCTCTTTTCTTAATTTAAGGACAAATAACAATAATTATTAATATGTCAAAATTTGCAGCTGATTATTAAAATGATGTATAAACTTTCTACATATCATAAAATACATTATAAGATTCATGTCGTCAATTCAGAATTCTTCACCATCTTAAAATCCAGAGTGATCACATAAAAAAATCTCTGATTTAATTCAGAGCCTTTAAACTAGACAGGAATTATCTGATAAACTGATTGAAGACAAATTCCCACCTGGTGATGCTTTGGATATAATATAATTATTGTCAGTCCAAAATCCACAAAAAAGAGAGCGATGAGAAAGTTTTATTGCCTTTGCATATTTTTTGTCAGTTACATATTTGACAATATCTATAAATGTAAATAAAAATTAATATTCTAATTTAGTGTTGATTTATCAAAATGTAGATTATAAAATTGGGATGTGGCGGGGATTAATGTACATAAGATGTTGACGCTGCAATTTAAATTCATTTTGATTGCAAAAAGGATTATGCTGGCGAAAAAAAAAAATTAAAAGTGTTGAAAAAAAAATAATGTTTTGGCAGAAGAGGTGGCAAAAAAATGTTGACCCTGGGGAAACCCTGGTAAATTAACAACAATTCTTTACACTATAAGACATTGTGATAAACATGAGTGCACATGCTGAATCTCGCATACATAAACTTAACATTGACCAATGAACCATGAAAATGAGGTCAAGGTCAGATGAAATCTGCCAGACTGACATGTACCCCTTACAATCATTCCATACACCACATATAGTTGACTTACTGCTTATAGTATCTGAGAAACAGACCTAATCACTAATCCATGAAAGGAGGTCGAGGTCAGGTGAACCCTGTCTGAAGGACATGTGGACATTGCAAGGAACCAATATACCAAATATTGTTAGCTTATTACTCATAATAAGTGAGAATTTCACATCACAAACAACCTATTAATTTTTTTTAAGCAGTCACTGAACCATGAAAATGAAGTCAAGGACAATGGACAATACGACAGACAGAAACTTTGTAACATAAGGTATATATGAATACAATATATGAACATCCAGGTCTTCAACTTCAGAAATATAAAGCTTTATACAAAAAGTTTATGCTGCCGCCGCCGGATACTAATTCCTACGTCTCGCATAATACGACTTTTGTCATATGCGAGACAAAAAATCTTTACATTTTTTATGCAGTGATTGAAATTATCTCAAGGACAATGGATTTATGCCAAATGGAAACTTCAAATCATGAGACACTTCTACCTTCTCAATATATTAAGTTTCATTCAAAATAATGTCACTGGAGGCTGAGGCAAGATTACCATGCATTTGTCTTTCATTTTGCATTCTTTCATGTTAGATTTAAAACCTACAAAATACAGAAAACTTACCTGCCATGGCAGCATAAAGCTTACAGTTGCTATGGAAATGAAGGCACTGTGTTTATATCCTGGATTTCTCATCCTTAAAATATCAATTCACATTGTACTACATATATTTTTATACATACATATATAATAATTCTCTTATATATTCTCCCCTTACTAATCAACAGTTAAATACTTAATGAAGTTTACTATACGATATGAGATTTGCTCAATGTTGAAGCCCATGTGGTGATCTTAACTTATTACATTCTTTTCCCTTGATCTTTGGTGGATATATAGTTGTCTCAATTTGTTTGTACATTGTATAACAATATGAATGACATTAAAACGTTTTGCTTGTAGACACCTTTGATGATTGACAACACAGAAAGTTCAACAAATTTTACCAGAGATAATTACAAAACCAATTAAAAGACACAAGCCTAGAAATCTACAAAGAAAATGTAAGTCCGGAAACAGTCATATTTTCTCCTCATGACAGATTAAACAAGAGTGTAAGTCTGTAATATGAATGTTTTACTACAAGTATCGCATAAACTTAACATTATTAATGATCCACGTTATGAGGTCTAGGTCAGATGAACCCTGCCAGACCAACATGTGCACCTCACAATCATACAATGCACCAAATATAGTTAGTCAATTGCTTATAGTATCTGAGAAACACACCTTATTACAAAATTGAACATAGACCAAAAGAACCATTAAAATGAAGTCAAACACCAAAATACAGATGTTCTATTGCTTATAGTAAATATTATCCCATATACCAAATATAGTCATGCTATTACTCATAATAAGTGACAAAACAAGAGGTACTAAAGTATTTGTCCATTAACCAGGACACCCTTGTTTTTCCCCCTTTTTTGCCCCTAATTCCTAAACGGTTTGAGCCATAACCCCCCAAAGCAAATCCTAACCATCCCTTTGTGGTATGGAAACTTGTGGTATAATTTCAGAGAGATCCATACACCGTTCCATAAGTTATTGTCTGGAAACTAGAAAAATGCTTATTTTTGGCCCCTAATTCCTTAACTGTTGGTACCACAACCCCAAAATCAATCCCAACCTTCCTTTTGTGGTATTGAACCTTATGGTAAAATTTCATAGAGATCCATTCACTTAAACTAAAGTTATTGTGCGAAAACCAATGTGTCTTCGGACGACGACGACGCCAACGTCATACCAATATACGACCGCAAAAATAATTTTTGCGGTCGTATAAAAATGAGTACCATCCATCAGAAAAATACTAAAAATGAAAAAATATATTTTCAAAGGTTTGCTTCAGACATTATCTCTTAATCATTCTGCCAAAGTTTCATAAAACTCTATGAAGGTTTGACAAAGTAATTGATGTGTAACAAACTTTAACCCCAGACTACTTGTTAACTGTTAAAGTCATATGAAACTTCAAATTCAAAAAAAAGTTTAATATGTTAAAGAAAATCCTTTATATTATCAAAATCTTCATAAATGTACAGCTAATAAATTATTGTCTTCCCGTACACTAATTCGCCAATATTTTGCCATATGCAGTAACCTTAACCACAAAACCTCTCGTTAGAAATTAGGCCACCGTACAGCGCAAGTTCTAGGGGAAAACCTTGATGAAAGAATGTAAACAAACGTGTACTGGAAGGTAAATAGTAATAACTAATTCTTAAAGAACAAATTTAGTACAACAAATCATTTAACAACTGCTAAGGAAAAGTTTAATTAACAAATGGAAACGCAGGGAAAATATAAAACAAGTTGCTTTCTTTAAAAAACAGAAAAGCAATACGTGAACCCAAGACCGCTGACTGGTCACCAAAAAATTGTTGCTGAATTTTTGTTTGCTTTTGAATTGAAATAATTGACTGTGAATAGAATAAGATAATGATGATGTTAAAACACCTTTATTAAAAATATGTGATTGTGTGTAGATTCTTGCACAAGTCAGTTGAAAGCAATGTTGGATAGTTGTGAATAGAAAAGTGTATATATACAGCTACTATTTGAATATACATTTGAAGGCTCGACTATTTTATTTATTACTTGGGAGTTTACATCATTTTTTCGTAACCCTTTTGCAAATCCCAGTTTCTACAAACCAGATGTCTTATGCAAATTGCACAAACCAATTGCAATATAAATTTAAGCACTCAGTTTGCTTTATAATCTGGATGCATTTATTCTATCTATCATATCTCCATATTTTGTTTCCTGGATGCCTTCAATTATTCTCAACTCGATATTGAAGCTGTCTGTACTCATGGTAGATGTTGTATGGATAAATTTTAAGTCCAATTTCCATGTGAAGTGAAACCCTGTGGCATGCAACTTATAAGAAGGTTTCGTATATTTTTCTTGAGAGTAACACACCAGCTTCATTGGGACCTCTTATATAGAGACTTATTTTGGTCTCATAAAACATCTCAAATTTTAAGAATTTTCTGATTTTACTTAAATCAATCCAAATATTCTACAGGAAAACTTGGTTTTGAAGAATATCTTATTTTCAGAAGTTTTATGAATACCTGAACATACTCTCAAAAGAACCAATTTATATAAATTGATATGAAGATATAAAAAGATACCAGGATTAAAATGTTGTACGCCAGACGCGAGTTAAGTCTACAAAGAATCATCAGTGATGCTCTAATAAAATAGTTAAAAAGGCCAAATAAAGTACAAAATTAAGTAATCTATTCCTTGGGTAGAAAATCCTTAGCATTTCGAAAATGTCAAAGTTTATAATAGGACAGTGACTCAAAAAAGAAAACAAAAGAGAAACAGCCAGAGGTCAGAATACCGTAAGTAATGATGAACGTGCTTGAAAGTCACATGTCAAGCTCTTACTGAATTTTGATAAGAAAAGCGAAAATTTGCATTGACGAGTGAAATCAATATTTATGCATGCACGTGGTATTTTTGCGCAAGAAATATATAGTAAATAGAACTATACGCACTGATACTCTGGATAAGAATACGCATTTGCGTCATCACATATATTAATCTAATAGTTGAAATTCGGATGTCAAACTACCTAACTCACATGTTTTGACTCCGGATTCATTGACATTTTATCCGGAATTTTTGTGAATGCAAACCCATAGTGTGCATGTGAACAGGGTGATATATAATGTGAATGATAGCTGGTCAACACAATGAATACAATTTTCAAAATCATACCATACTTAGTACAAATATTTAGATGCTATAAGGTTGAACCATTAAAACAAACAAACAAAAAAAGAATTGAATTTTATAATTAACATGCATTCCTGTTAGTGAACTTTTTCCGAAAATTTTAAATATAATATCAATAAACACAAACGTCAAGTATTTATGGATGGGCATTTTATTTATCAATTTGAAATCAATCTCTTTTTAAAGTCTAACATTCCACTATAGGAATATATTGCTATACAAAATATAAGCAGAGACTTATAAATCCATGCTAAAACAGTATAAAATAATTACCATTATGATAGTAATTAAATTTTGTTATGAATATTGTAAAATATTAATTACATTTTTTGTGAGATTCAAGGATTTACAATCCTTGTGAATTGAAACCATGCAAGTATTTTTTCATTCACGACCATTTAAAATTTAGATAATTAGCTAACTTTGGGTACGCATCCCTGCTAATTGGTGTTCATACGTTGCATATAATTTTCATAATGTAATGACTGTTCATACCTGTGAGACCTAACGCACGTATATATATATGACAATTTTAATTATATTCTATTAAGAATAAATTCAGTCTCAGTTTAAACTTAATAATGAATATTCTCTTGGTCTGGTAGTATCTATAATTAATGAATTTAGATATTTTTGACATAACAATCCTTTTGTTTGATTATCTTTCTGCTTTCTGACCACTGCGTTTCTGAATTAAAGTCACCTAAAATAAATGTTTTTAACAGAAATATCGTTTTCTTAATTTTCTTCATGCTTTCCGACATTTTCCCATGCTATGATTGAAATACAAAATATCAAATAATAAACGTTCAGAAATAATCAGTTTATTCTGGGACATTATATATAAATAAACTATTCCCAGGTTTATTGTCACAATGCACAACAGCACGCTGTATTAAATACTACGCAAACAACAAGTACAGGGACCGTCTCAAAGCATGAATTATATAATTGCATTATCATTATACTCGATATCTAGTAAACATTCACATTATTAAAAACACACATGTTTTGTCCTTCTCAAAAGGCAAATAGGTTCTAACATATAAATGATTTTTTGACTGCAACCTAGTCTTTATTGTTTTACTTTCCAATCTACAAATGAACTTTGAATGTTGAAATATACAATGTCACGTGGTAGCCTATCCATAGAGGGACCGTATCAAAGACATAGATAACTACCTGTATAAATGATTGAAAACTTTCGAGACATATCGAGAATCTTGATTCCGAGGATATCGAATGGCCCATAGACACTTCCAAAATTCACAGCAAAATATATATATATATATAAGGCTCTATTAATTCACTTATTTGTCACGTTCTCCACATGCTCTGTGTTGATTGTTTATCAACGTCACGATCTTGTAAACATCGGCAACAAACTCGAAAGTTAATTAGCTTGCGATAAACAATCTGTGAATGAAAAATTATTTGTCGATAATAAGTTATAGGTTCATAATAAATATAAACAAGAGTACACAAGCTGAAATATCTCGCCTACTATACTGACCATTGATTTCATGTTGATAGTCCTACATATAAAGTTTTATTTCAAGTATCACATTAACATTTATGATCCAAGAAAATGAGGTCAAGGTCAGATAAACCAAGGCGGAAATACATGTACACCTTTAATACAATCATTCCATACACAGAATATAGATGACCTATTGCTTATAGTATAAAAGAAACAGACCAAACCATGGAAATTCTATATTGACCAATGAACAGTGAAAATGAGGTCAAGGTCAAATAAAACCTGCCAGACAGACATGTACACCTTAAAATCATTCCATGCATCAAATATAGTTGACCTACTGCATACAGTATTAAAAAAAAACAGACCAAAACACAAAAACTTAACATTGAGCAATGAAC